TGAACTCAAAGCTCAATAAATTGATTGTATCGGTTGTGACAACACTCTCCATAATAATATTCGCATCAATACTACTACACAATGAATATAATTTGACAACTTTTTGCTTCATTACGATAACAATCACAACAATTGGTTTTATTGCGATCAAGTCTGGAGCCGACGATTATCTCACTGCCTATGGTTTTGAATATAATTTCATTGAGGAAGCAATTGTTGATGATATGCCGGCACAACACAATGGTTTACAGGCCGGTCATGAAGAATGGGTGGACAATGAGGTGATGTCTGACGACAGCGGTTATGGGGACGAGACCACCACCGGTCCCGCACTTTCCCAACAAATCAATGACGAGGTACTTAACATAGTTTTGTATGGCATTATCGGTATTAATGGAAAAATGCTATGAGTGTTAATCCATGTTTGAACTCACTATTTACTATAATTATTATTAAGATTATACTTTAAATATTTTATAATTTTTATTTTATTTTAATCGTTTTTATTCACATTAATATTCTATATATTCTAACAATTAATTCTAAACATATTTTATAATCTATACAATATTAGTAAATAATATAAATAAAATTTTTACCGAGATGTCAGCTTTATTTATTGATCGGCTATTTATTATGGTAACCTATCATAAATGTTTTAATATATTGTAATAATAAGATTGAATAATAAGAAAGTAAAAGTCAATGAATTTTCAAATCTAACTTAATGTAAATTTATTTTATATAAAATGGTATTATTTTCACTTTACGTGCGGGAAAAGATAGAAAATATGCCACTACTGCATTATGTTTTCATTCTGATTATCATTATATCATATTTTATGTGATAAACAAAATTGTTTGTGACATTATATTTAGTCTATACTCACTTTCATTAACAATACATCTCTCTCTCTCTCTCTCTCTCTCTCTTTCCAAAATGCGCAAACGTGGTGCTATTGTTAGTAAATTAATGGCCAAAATGATGTGCAAAGCGGGTTTCACTCATATTATCACAGTTGATATGCATCATAAAGAGGTACATTATTCCTATATTTTCAACCAACAGTTATTTATTTTGTTATTATATTTAGGTGATTAATTTTTAAACTTGGTATAGTTTTAGTTCATAAAGTTAATTTAATGTAATTTATTATTAGTGTTGTTAGTTAAACTTGTTCATTATGTTTAAATTTAAGTTTTTATTTTAAATATTTTTATAACATTAATGGATATTTTTTACTTTTCACGTTTGACTTAATATTTCAGTATTTAATTCTCTGTTAATTTCAAATTATCGGATAAAAAGAAAATTCCCTTAAAATTATCAGCAATTTTAATCACATTAAATGTATGTTTTCAACAAAAACAAAATTATCACTTGACTTATGAAAATAATATTAATGATAGCTTCATAAAATATTGGACTTTAAATGCAATCATGTAATTATTTGCCGCTAATTATGCTTTACAAGTAAAAGTTACAGAATTTTTTTTTACTATTAAAAAGTTGTGTTTTGTTAAATAGATTTTAAACTTAATAGTTATTTTACATTAAATAGATTAATTTTTAATTCAATTTTCAATTACAAAACTGACAATATCTATACACCTCACAATAGATGTCACAATAGTCGCATGTTGTAAAGTATAGTTAACTTATTCATGTAAATTACATTATGTAATACTGGGTTTAACTGTATTTACAAATTTAGTTTTAAAATATTAATGAAACTAGACATTGATTGAATGATAAAGTTTGTTTTGCTGATAGGCTCAAGGATTTTTTGATATCCCGGTGGAAAACCTCCGCGCGTCTCCATTCCTGTTGCAATATATTCGTGAGAATATATCGGATTACAAGAATGCCATAATAGTGGCCCGATATCCCGGTGCCGTACGTAAGGCCACGGCATACGCCGAGCGACTCCGCGTCGGTATAGCCGTCATTCACGGCGAACACAAAGAGGCAGAAACGGACGAAGTGGACGGCCGTACGTCACCGCCGCCCGCGCTCTCCGACTCGTCGGCTACAGAGGCGGCCAGTGTTGGCGCGAGTGTAGGGATGGGCAGCACTTCGACCGATCGCTACAATTGGGACGGTTTGCCCCAACTGTTGCCGAAGGAGAAGCCGCCCATCACTATTGTGGGCGATGTCGGCGGTCGTATAGCCATTATGATTGACGACGTGATCGATGACGTGGAGTCTTTTGTGAGCACTGCCGAGCATTTGCGTGACCATGGTGCTTATAAGATATACGTGTTGGCCACACATGGCTTCTTCTCGGCCGACGCTCCGGCACTGATCGAGGACTCGCCCATCGATGAGGTGATTGTGACGAATACGGGTCAGTTCACTGTTCACTGTTTGCCTATTCTCTAATAACATGTGTAGTAATTGTGATGATTGTGTGTTTGGCCTACAGTTCCCCACGAGCTCCAGAAGATGAGGTGCCATAAGATTAAGACCATTGATATCTCGATACTGTTGGCCGAAGCCATGCGTCGGATACAGAACAAGGAGTCGTTGAGTTTTCTCTTCAAAAATGTTTCCCTCGAAGACTGATGTGATTATCACATAATCTGATAATTGTGTTCATTATATGATTGTAATGTATAGTGTGCTCACTATATACTTTATATTTGATTACTGTTTAAATTAATTAAATAGTTGTTTATTAAATTGCGAAACAAGTATTACTTGTACAGTAATATTAATTAGGTTTTAAAACATTCATTTTGTTTTTATAAAAATTCTATTTTATAGACAGGTTTTATAGTGGATTTTTAAATGCAAACCAAAATAAAAATATTTTTATTGATAACAGAATTCACATAACAATTAGATGTAATTATTTAATTACAATTATAGCAAAAACTGATTAAATTAATAGTGAGAGACAGAAAAAACCAAACATAAGATAAGAAGATTGTTATCTAATTGTTGGAGAAGATGGAGGGCCACCACTTGAATGGTTGCATTGGTTGCATGGGTTGCATCATTGGCCACATACCGGAGCCCATAGCCATGCCTGTCATACCGCCTCCATTGCCCATAAAGGATCCCATAGACATTCCGGAACCCATACCACCCATGGAACCCATATTAAAACCATTGCCGAAGGCATTGGCGCTTCCAGTGCTCATTGAATCGAAATGAAAGCCGTTGTTTGGACTGTTGTGTGAATTTGTATGAGTAAAATACAATATATTTGGTTGTAATGTTGTGGATGACAACTTACTTGCCGCCACTGACAAAGGATGTATGTGAATATCCCGGTCCAACCGATTGCCAGAACTGGGAGCCATCGCTTGCCGTCTGTTGCCTAAACACTTGCGGTCCGTACGGAGTGTTCATGACAAAAGTCTGGGGCTGACCGGTGGGCATACCTAAGGCTATGCCACACGTGATTGACAGTAAAATCATTACTTGTGTTGTGATAGACATAATTCAAGTCAAACCTAAATTTAAATCAAATAACGAAATTAAGACAATTATTGATAATTTAATCAATTTTGGTTTTGATTCACACCATTACTTGTAATAGTTTAATATAAAGCTATTGCATAATTTACTGCCAATATATACCATATGGGTGTTTTAACACAATATATAGTGTGACCACCTCTCGTTCCAGAAAAGGAGGATTTGTGACAACATTTTGTGTAACTATAGAGAATAGATATTTTAAATTCATTTTTATAGTATATTTTTCCGTATTATTCGTATCTGACTTGTGGTTAAAAATTGTAAATTACTATATCTAGGACTTCATTAAAAATAACATACAATATTAGATTCACACTGTTTAAAATGTCATAATATCAACTAAAATCAATTAGTACTTTATTTTGTCCTACAAATCCTAAAATCAATTATTATAGATATTTTATAATTTAAGTAAAATTAGCAAAAAATTTATAATCTTTAGTAAAATTTTTTAAAAAACATTCAATAGCCCTCTTCGACCCCTTCAAAAAACAAAAAGTTTAAATAGAGGAATGTCATTTGAAATAGAGGACAGGTGGTTACGCTAACGATATACTGTATGTATGTTTTTATATTAATTAATAAATATTTTTAATTAGTTTTATTCATGTCGGTATTATTTACACAAATTGTTTTATTAAAATATTTTTTATAACTTTTTTTGTAAAGGAATTGCTTAATAATTAACGTAAAGAAATTAAAATTGTTTTATTGTATTTTTTTTATTTAAAGAAGTAATTTGAATCATGATTTAAAAATATATTTAGTTTACAAAATATTAATTACTTTTTATTTATTATAATCATTCGCGTGAATGCAATCCATTATTAAATAATACATAAATTTTTAAAAATGTATTTTTACTGCAATTTTAACGGCATTTTCCAATTTAATGCATAATAAATTGAATTAATTTTTGATGGTTTTAACATTATATAAATATTTAAACGTCAATTTAATTGTGTACCAATTTCAATACATAATAAGTTTGAATTGCATATAAAAATAGTGTTAAATGAACTCAAAGCTCAATAAATTGATTGTATCGGTTGTGACAACACTCTCCATAATAATATTCGCATCAATACTACTACACAATGAATATAATTTGACAACTTTTTGCTTCATTACGATAACAATCACTACAATTGGTTTTATTGCGATCAAGTCTGGAGCCGACGATTATTTCACTGTCTATGGGTTTGAATATAATTTCATTGAGGAAGCAATTGTTGATGATATGCCGGCACAAGACAATGATTTACATGCCGGTCATGAAGAATGGGTGGACAATGAGTTGATGTCTGACGACAGCGGTTATGGGGACGAGACCACCACCGGTCCCGCACTTTCCCAACAAATCAATGACGAGGTACTTAACATAGTTTTGAATGGCATTATTGGTATTAATGGAAAAATGCTATGAGTGTCAATCCATGTTTTAAACTCACTATTTACTATAATTATTATTAAGATTATACTTTAAATATTTTATAATTTTTCTTTTATTTTAAGCGTTTTTATTCACATTAATATTCTATATATTCTAACAATTAATTCTAAACATATTTTATAATCTATGCAATATTAGTAAATAATATAAATAAAATTTTTACAGAGAAGTCAGCTTTATTTATTGCTTGGCTATTTATTATGATAACCTATCATAAATGTTTTAATATATTGTAATAATAAGATTGAATATTAAAAAAGTAAAAGTCAATGAATTTTCGAATCTAACTTAATGTAAGTTTATTTTATATAAAATTGTATTATTTTCACTTTACGTGTGGGAAAAGATAGAAAATATGCCACTACTGTATTCACTACTACACTATGTTTTCATTCTGATTATCATTATATCATATTTTATGTGATAAACAAAATTGTTTGTGACATTATATTTAGTCTATACTCACTTTCATTAACAATACATCTCTCTCTCTCTCTCTCTCTCTCTCTCTCTCTATTGGATGTAATATACGATGCAATACTATTAGGCTCTTTACACTACTGACAGCGCGCTATACCTGGAAATTATCGATTGAGGTTTCTTTGAATACATGGATATACAGAATATTCTGTGTTTGAAATTGAATGCATAGAATATTTTTATTTTTACAAAAGCCATAGAAAAGTATATGAAAGTCTCAACAGAGGATAACTGGCTTAAAAAGAGCTAAAAAATGTGATTAAATAACTATAAAATTTCATATAATATGAAAAATGTATTTTTACTGAAAAAATTGTTTTGACTTTTATTACAACTTGTATGTAATATATATTACTAAACCCATGAATATATTCACTCATTCTGTTAGTGTCTAATGTATAGGAAATTGATGTTAAAATAACTTGAATATTTATATTATTAAATTTATTGTACATTTGTTTTGCTTTATATTTCCAATATTCTGGCTTACTTGTTGTACAAAATGTATTAGTTTACTATGTTATCTATGTATAGTCAATATAGTTGTGATTGTGATAGCAAAGAAGAGAGAGAGAGAGAGAGAGAGAGAGAGATGTATTGTTAATGAAAGTGAGTATAGACTAAATATTTAACGTTTGGATAAATTATTTATTTTCATCCATTATATATGCATTATCTCGTATTTTAGGCCAGGAATCTTGCATTTTATTATTATGAGTATTGTTTTTTATATAAAATTGAATCACAAAGAGAGAGAGAGAGAGAGAGAGAGAGGTAAGCCCTGGGAATGACCTGATTCTGTTGTGTTGAACGGTATGCCTGGAAATGATATTCAAGAATATTCTTGTCTTCACATCAAAGAGTTATAAATTAGAGTTATATTCGTAAGTGTAATGTGTTTGTAGGAGTAAGCGATAAACAAGCATAAAACTAAATTACTTACATGGTACACAATCTATGTTGAATGTTATATGCTTTTATAGCTAATGCAATCTATATCCAGGCTTTTAACGCCTAGATAACTGTTGAATCAATTTTGTATTCATTAGAGAGAATTATATGATATGAGACGAGTGTTTGATTTGAATTAATATATCGGATGTTATGTCCAATTATCGTATATATAGACAGTATTTGCGTCTATTTTCGTGAACCGAATAACATATTTTTGTTTATATGTTTATAATATTAAAAATAGTTATTTTTGAATTTCAATCATATACGTTTTTGAATTTTAATGAGATGTTAGACATATAAAATATACTCTATATATACTTATATACTTTATATTTAAGCAGTGATGACAGTAGGGCTACAAATTGGGGGAAGATTTGTACTGTATTGAGATTTATTCAATTTTATATAAAAAACAATACTCATAATAATAAAATGCAAGATTCCTGGCCTAAAATACGAGATAATGCATATATAATGGATGAAAATAAATAATTTATCCAAACGTTAAAAGCATTCTGTCTTTCAATTTTGTATATATTATATAAACATTAATTGTATTTAGTATTTGTTTATTTATGTGTTTTCTTCTCTTTTGTATTTATTTCATGAAATGAATCAATATTTTGAATATTAATTTAGTCTACACTTAGATATTCTGTACTCAGTTTTGGGGCTAAAAAGGATTTTCGTTTTTATTATTTTATATTTATATAGGATTTGCTTTAAAAAAATATTTTACATTTTGAGTCCCAATTGTGTCTAAAAAGTTTTTTCAAAGTTTTTATAATAATATTGATGTATGGTTTTAGAATTTAAATATTGCTTATAAATAAAACATAAAAAAAACTTTATTTTTAGATTAAAAATAAAATATATACTGATTTTAGATTTACATTCATTTATTGATTTTTTATAGCATTAAAAATTTCGTTTTTAGTAATGTTTAATTATATTTCAAAATCTGAGTTTTTATTTTTAAATAAGATAAAATATTTTGTTATCAATATAAAGCAAAGGATTGAAAAGGAACAATAGAAAAAAGCGCAATATACAATAGGAAGTGGGAGGGGTGGGAGGGTAGTAAAACTATAGAGTTGGATAGAATGGGGGAGGGAATGGGTAACACATTTAGTGTATTGGGCTGATGGATAATAATTTATATATTAAATGTTTTCAATTATTATATATTTTTTTAATTATTTTTATTGAAATACAATTTATTTAACATTTTAATAATAATTATTTATAATTTAATATTAATAATAATTATAGTAATATTAAAGCACAATATAAATCACTTTTAAAGGCACACAAACTAATCTGGAAAATTTTGATAAAATATCCATGTTCAGTTTTTGTATGCGTGTTAGTCAATACAGTTGTCAACATATTTCTCTCAAATATAGACAATTAAATGAACACCTAATTTTTACAAATATAAAATTTATACCAATATGGTTTTATAATTAGTTTTCTTATCTTATCCAATAAATTAGAAACATATACATGATATGAATGATACAAAGTTAAATCAGTTTATTGCGTTAATCATTGAATAAATGAGTTGATATCCATCCCATAGAGCTAATGTTAATAAAATCATCAATTTCTCTTAGATGGCTGAACTAATCTTAATCAAATTTTGCTATCATATACT